CATATGCCTCTCTGCAAAACTTAGTAATGGGGATTGTTCTATTATGCTGTTTTCCCCTTTTCAGTTTTTTTAATCATTTTTTTATTGTTGACACTAGAGGCCCGGTGCAGGAAATTCATGCAAGGGGCTCAGCCCTCGCAGCTCCAGCTGCCTTGGCCCTCGATGCCCCGGCTTCATCTGGAAGGTCAAACACAATCATCTGGGGTTTGGTCTAATTAGCATATTAGCTCTTTATTATATAGGATTCTAACAGATGTTCCATTTACCCCCTTTGCCCACTTCCACCCAGCTCCTGTCCCCCCTCACTCTAGCCATCTCCACACCATTGTCTGCGTCCATGGGTTATGCATACATGTTCTTTGATTAAACCCTTCATCTTCTTTCATCCAGTCCCTCCCTCCTCCTCTCTTCTGATAGCTGTCAGTCTGTTCCTGTATTCATGCCTCTTTTTCAGTTTATTTTGTTCATTAGATTCCACATATAAGCAAGATCATATGGAATTTTTCTTTCTTCAATGGCTTATTTCACTTAGCATAATAACCTCCAGGTGCATGCATGTTGTAAAATATAAGATTTCCTTGTTTTTATGGCAGTGTAGTATTCCATTGTGTAAATGAACCACATCTTTTTATCCACTCATCTACTGATGGGCACTTGGGCTATTTCCAGATCTTGCCTATTGTAAATAACATTGCTATGAACATCGAGGTTCGTGTACTCTTTCTGATTGGTGTTTTGAGATTCTTAGGATATAGTCCTTGAAGTGAGATCACTGGGTCAAATGGGAATTCCAGTTTTAATTTTTTGAGGAAACTCCATACTGTTTCCCACAGTGGCTGCAGCAGTCTGCATTCCCACCAGCAGTGTACTAGGGTTCCCTTTTCTCCACATCCTTGCCAGCGCTTGCTGTTTGTTGATGATTGCTATGACATATGTCTGATATTTGCTTGCCTATGGATTCTTCTAAGATTTTTACGGTTTTCCATCTTATGTTTAAATCCTTTATCCATTTTGAGTTTATTCTTGTGTATGGTGAAAGTTGGTGGTCTGGTTTCATTTTTTTGCATGTATCTGTCCAATTTTCCCAGTACCATTTTAATCTTTATTGTTGAAAGTATTACATATGTCCCCTTTTCCCCCATCCCAGTACCATTTATTAAAGGGACTATTTTTACTCCATGCTCTTGCCTCCTTTGTCAAATATTAATTGATCATATAGATGTGGGTTGATTTTTGGTCTCTGTTCTGTGCCATTGATCTATATGTCTATTCTTATGCCAGTACCAGGTTTTGACTACAATGGCCTTGTAGTAAGTATTGTTATACTTTCAACTTTGTTCTTTCTCATGATTGCTGAAGCTAAGCTGTTTGGGGACTTTGGAGCGGGGGTGGGGGAGGTGGAATTCCAGATAAATCTTTGGAGTATTTGTTCTAGATGTGTGAAATTGGTATTTTAATGGAAATTCATTGAATCTATAGGTTGCTTTGGGTTGTTTGGATATTTTAATGCTATTCTCCCAACCCATGAATAGTTTATGCTTCCACTTATTTGTATCTTCCTTTATTTCTTTCTTCAATGTACTATAGTTTTCCAAGTACAGGTCTTTTACCTCCTTGATTAAATTTATTTCTAGGTACCTTATCTTTTTGTTGCAATAGTAAATGGGATTGTTGTCTTAGTTCCTCTTTCTGATAGTTCATTATTGGTTTATAAAAATGCCACTAATTTCTGAATATTAATTTTGTATCCTGCTACTTCGCCAAATTCACTTAGTAGATCTAGTAGCTTTTTGGTGGAGTCTTTAGGGTTTTCTATGTACAATATCATGTTATCTGAGAATAATGACAGTTTTACTTCCTCCTTTCCAATTTGGATGCATTTTATTTTTTCTTCTTGTCTGATTGCTGTGAATAGGACTTCCAGTACTATGTTGAATAAGAACACTGAAAGAGGAAATCTCTGTCTTGTTCCTGATCTTAATGGAAATGCTTTAATTTTTGCCCATTGAGTATGATGTTGACTGTAGGTTTGCCATATATGGCCTTTCTTACATTGAGGTATATTCCCTCTATTCCCACTTTACTGAGGGTTGTTTTTCTTTTTCATAAATGGGTGCTGGATTTTATCAAATGCTTTTTCTGCATCTATTGATATGATCCTGCGGTTTTTATCCTTCATTTTGTTTATATGGTGTATCACATTTATTGACTTGTTTATATTGTACCAACCTGGAATAAATCCCAGTTGACCATGGTGTATGATAGTTTCAATGTATTGCTGGATCCAATTTGCTAATGTTTTGTTGAGGATTTTAGCATTTATGTCTAACAGAATTCTCAACTTTAGCCCCTAACCAAATCACATTGCTGCCTCTCAGTGAAGTGATCAGATGTTTCCTTTGCATATGTATTTTGAACAGGACGTTTCTGAGTGTTCCCAGTGGGCTTGCACCTGGTTCTAAAGAACTGTTGGGGTTCAGGGGGAATCAAATAGAAACAGCTCATTGTAGCTTAAAAACAGCATCAAGGATATATTGTTTTCCACATGCATCTAATGGCAAGCAGGGACCAGTAGACCACTGGTCAGCAATGTGACTGTTTTCAGGAGGTTCTCTTTATTGAGAGCAGAATTTACAACTCCTGTTCTCTGGACATTATGCAAAAAACCACAAAATTTAAGTTAGAAAAATCTTAGTTGGTCAAAGTCTATCAGATATCCTTACTGCAGAACTTCTCAGACACTTTATGCATTTCAACTGAGAATTTTCCCAAAAGTTTTTGGCCATTTTTCTGGAGCCTTCTAGAACCCTTTTTTCTGGAGTATCCAATAACACTGATGTTTAGTAGAACACCCTTTTGGAAATGCTACCATAGAATATATTGCCAATAGTTGCAGTTCTGTGGCCTATGACATAGTCCTGCTCCTCAAAACTGTGGAAAGGAGAATGGAATAGAGTGATAAAAAAATACACAGCATAGCCTTGGTCTGTTTTCTTAGTGGTTAGAGCATCGGCCCATGCTCTGAAGGATCCAGGCTTGATTCCCGGTCAAGGGCAGGTACCTGGGTTGTAGGTTTAATCCCCTGCCTGGTCAGGCCATGTGCACCTGGCAACCAATCGATGTGTCTCTCTCACATCTCTCTCTCTCTCTCTCTCTCTCTCTCTCTCTCTCTCTCTCTCTAAAAAAAGTTAATGGGAAAATATCCTTGGGTGAGGATTTTTAAAAATGCACAGCATAAAGCCAGATGGGCTTCTATGTGTTTTGTAAAACAAAGACTAGCCATGTTGCTTCAAAAGTATGACCAGACATTTTCTAGTGTTTTTCTTAGCAACTGCCTCTTGGTACAAATAACTTCTTCTCTGTACCATTTTATAGCATAGATGACCTTATTTCTTTAGCATGGGCCTGGGTTTTCATTTTCAAATTTCTGAATAAAAATTTCATCATTTTCAAGTTTATGAATAAAAGTAGCTTTTAAAAGAAAGGAACTTAGAAAACACACAGACTTCCTATGCTACTTTTTGTTGTGAGTTAATATTACTAAAAAGAAGAATAAAGCCCATCCTGGTTAAATGTTATTTTTCCCTACTTATGAACCTTTACTCTAGTTAAAATAAGTCATAAATTACTGAACAAAGCAGACTCAATTATGGTGTGAAGGATGACACTAGGCCAGGGGTGGGCAAACTTTTTGACTCGAGGGCCACAATGGGTTCTTAAACTGGACCGGAGGGCCGGAACAAAAGCATGGATGGAGTGTTTGTGTGAACTAATATAAATTCAAAGTAAACATCATTACATAAAAGGGTACGGTCTTTTTTTTTAGTTTTATTCATTTCAAACGGGCTGGATCTGGCCCGCGGGCTGTAGTTTGCCCATGGCTGCACTAGGCTCATTTAGAAATAAAGAGAAAACTTCAATTCATAAGGCAGAGATGAGCAGCTCTGGCCTGCCACCGGTTGTTGTACATAAAATTTTATTGGAGCACAGCAGTGCTCATTTACTAGTATTTACATACTAGAGGCTCAGTGCATGGGATTCATGCACTGGTAGGGTCCCTAGCAGCTGCTGGCTGCCAGCTGCGGGCCAGGGCCTCCCTCCCTCCCCCCGGCCGGTCTCCCCCCCCTGGTGGAACTTCCAGTCAAAGGGACAATTTGCATACTATGCTTTTATTATATAGATAGGATTGTCTATGGCTGTTTTCACACTTCATTAGTCATTGCAATAGAGATATATCTATGGTCCTCAAAGCCTACAATATTAACTATATGGCCCTGTACAGAAATTGTTGCCAATCTCTTTCATAGATTCATAGAAAAATGTGGAGAAGATGGAGATTATATAACCACCCCCTCCATTCTATAGATGGGAAAATTGAAACTAGAGATAATAAGGAATTTTCCGGATTTATTTGTGCTTGCATGTTCTAATCCTTACAGCATAATAGCTCTAACAACCATGGAAGACAAAGATAGATTTCAGCTTAGACAGCAACCCCAGCGGAGTGGTAGTGGCCCTCTGGAGTGCTGGTTGGAAAGACTCAGTGAGTGGAAAGCAATGGCTGACTAATGTTGCATGGTCCATCGGCGGGAGAGCAGAAGAATTTGTGCCGTGGAGGCACTATGGAGGCACACTCTGCTCCACACATTATAGCAGTTCATCTCTTTCCTTGTATATCTGCTGTGTAAGCACTTTCTTCATTAGGCCAAAACAGAGGTGCTGCATGGGGCCTCCTTGAAAACACAGCTGCCTAGTAGTTTGCACGTGATTCTTGTACAAGCTCATTCCGATATCTTCCTTAGCAACTGCCAACCACTTCATGCTCTGCCTAAAAGAATGTAACGTGGGGTTTCATTGAAACTGGACTTGTCTGTTACAGGAATTTTTACTTTTAGTGAAACATGTGCATGGAGCACAGAGTGGGGGTGTGAGCTGGAAAGCCTTGAGTTATTGGCTTTTGTGACACAGACTGAAAGTCTCCGTGTTTGTGTTTCTCGCAGCTGGACAATCCGGATGAGCAGGCAGCACAGATCCGACGGGAGCTGGATGGACGACTCCAAATGGCAGACCAAATAGCCAGGGTAAGGACACTGGGGACATTTGCTGGGGGGCCAGGCCAAAGTCCCCCACGGGAAGACACATTATGAAGAGTCATCAAAAGATAAAACTGAGGATGATCATGCTGGGCCTCCACCCTCCTTTCCCAAGGCAACTCTCCCAGACTTAGCACATGTATTTCTCAGACTCTATTCATTACCCAAACCCCAGCCTCACCTTTCTGCTGAGTCCCAGACTGCTATTTCCCCTGGCTAGTGAAGATTTCAACCTGGACAGTGCCCTGGTATTTCAAATGGAATGTGTTCAAACTCTGACACCTTTCTTCTTCCTCTGACCACATACATACACCTACATTTATCCCCCTCGCCTCTCTCCATCCGGTACTGTGGATGAAACCTCCTAATCATTCTCATCTTCTCCTTCCTCCCCACAGCACTCCCCACTCAACCACCCACCCCGTTCATTGTCTCCGCCTCCTAAATGTGGCCCCGATCTTGTACTGCTTTCTAGCACCACAGCTAACACTTTGATTCAGACCCTCATCTTCTATTCCTGAATCTTAAAAATGGCCTCCTAATGGGTATCCTTGCCTCCAGTCCCTCCCCCTCTCCTGTCCATTCTTCATGCAGTTGCCATTATAAAACTTATATATGAACATCTCAAAACAGAGCCTCAAAAATCATTCCATAGCACTCCTATTGTCCCCAAAACAAAACATTACCTCTTTAGAATGATATCCAAGGGTCTTAATTCATGGACTGTATCCTTCCTTATTAGCATCACCTCCCACATTTTTCCCACCAGAAATCCCCATTCCAACTACAGAGAATGTCTCCCTCTGAATATTCCAGGCCTTTCCCAGCCTTATTGCCTTGGTACCCACTGGAGTTTCAACCTGGAATGACTTTCTTCTCTCCTCCGATTCAGCCTCCAGTACTCAACTTAAAACCCCTCGCTAAGAGCTTAGCAGTTGGTTCTTCCTACTTTTGTGCTTTATTCATGCCACATATGAACCATTATTACAACAGTGCGTTGAATAGTGGTGATCCGTTTACATGTCTGAGCATCCCAGTAGATTGGGTTTTCCAGGATTGGGATTATATCTTACTATTGATGACTGTTTGCCTAAGCATTATCCCTATCCCTGCCACTTGTGTTATTATTAACAGTAGATATGCTAGCAATGTGTATTGATTGCTGACTGTGCCAAGCATACTAAGTGCTTTACATGTACTATCTCATTCCATTCTCAAAGCTACCTTATGAGGACATTTCAGTTATCACTCCTATTTAGAGATGGGAAATTCAGACTGAGGAACTGTTAAGAGGCTACACTGAACCCTTAATTCAAATCTGAGTTGGGAAAAGGGTGAGGTACTCAGCCAGGAGCAAAATTTGAAAGTGGGAGACAAATGCATTCATAAAATATATAATACTTTAATGCAATATTTTATACTTATAATTAATACAGAAAACATCTATGAGAAAAACAAAATACCAAAATATTAAATAACCTATCTTACTGGTTCTATGGTAGCAACAGGCATGTGTGCATGTGAGGGTAGGAGCTGTGGGAGAGGGAAGGGAGGATGGGCAGAGAGTGGAGCTTGGCATTCAACCTTTCTCTGTGAAAAGAAATATCTCAGGACGTGGACACAAGGAAAAGAATTCTACTGGAAGAGAAACTGAAGAGAGGTTCCAAGAAGCATGCAAAGCCCATTTGTGCTCACGCAGTTTTATTGAAATGTTTTGTATCTTGTTTTTGGACACCTCCAAAGTTTATAGTACAGTCAGTCTGGTGGTTAAAAATAGTATGCAGTTATGGATTTGGCTAAAGGTAGTATAAAAGGCTCTTATGTTTGAAAATCCTGCTTAACATGGGAGTAAATATCAATAAGGCTTTAGAATTTACTTCTGCAAACTCAGTGTCTCCACAACGAATTATGTTGAAAATGGAGGTCATTTGCTCCATTCCCTGCCTTTAGGTAGCAATTACACCCCAAACTAAGTATTCATCCCATTTAAAGAAAATCACACACACACATACACACTTCAAAAACAAGATCATGGCACCTTTATTTTAGTTGTTTTGTTTACTCTGAGGTTTAACATGATAGTTTCAGAACCTCGTGTAGGCTAATTTTAATGTTTCAAAGACCATGGATGAACAAGAGTCATATAGTGATCCAAGTTGCTCATCTCTGCACATAGATCAAAGAACTCTCTCTCCAGCCCACACCATCAGATATGCTGATACCAAGTAGAATATTAACAACTTAGAATTAGACTTTCTTAGGTAATGAAATGGGCAATTAAAGCGAATCTTGGTCATTAGTTCTAGAGCATGGAGAATAATTTCAAAGTAGATGGAAACCCCCGCAACCGTTTAGGGTACAGAGGATTTGTATGAAAATCTGCCCGCCACTATCTCCTGTTCTGCTCGAAACAGACTGCCCTCTTCAGGGCTCATTCATGCCAATGGCCCCTTGGAGCAGTTAGTTGGTCCTGGAAGTGAGCTCTTCATCTAAGTGGAACCAGTCACATTTCTCAGCCTGCCCTGGCCATAGTAATTGGTCCAGCACTGGACCAATTACTGGACATAGTAATTTAGTCCAGGACTAAACCAATGAGTCCTTTCCATGGGCTATGGACTACATGCCAACAGGGCTGTGCCTTTCAAGGGTAGGAAGATGTCCGCAGCTATTTTTAATTCTCTTATGTGGGGACAAGAAGAGGGGAGAGTGAGGCCAACATAGAGAAAGAAGCCGAGACAGGGACTATACTGAAATTCTCAGGATGGTCAAGTCCCTGTTTCTACTTATTCTTGAGACTCAGCTGCGGAATTGCTTTTCCCTCAGTTTAGTTGGATTCCAAGAAAAATACATTCTGTTTTTGCCTTAAACGAGCTCATCTCCTAAACATTGAATAAAATATCAAGATCTCAGATATTGGCTAATTCATGAAGAGATACTGAAACGGGCACCCTGCTCTCTTTCAGCACGCCTCGATTTTCCTATCTCCGGCATCCCACTGGATTTTAGCGAGGGTGTGCAGCTCAACCCATATGGCTGAACATCAGCTCCTGTATATTTCATAACCAGAAATTCCTGGATGAGGATGTCATCCATGTAATTCACTCTGTTCTCTGAATTAAAAATGGGTAGAGCATTTTGATTGAAAGTTAGAGGCACCAACTAGAGGAAGCTTATGTAACAAGAGTGGATGAACTCTAGGGATTTAGGAGTGTCTCACGCAGCTCATGGGCAAGATGCAGCCAAAACCCAGAAAGGAACTGGAACCAGGGCCCACCAAGTGGTCAGGACTGCCCTCATCTCTTAAGTCTGTGTGTCCCGTTCATCATTCCTTCTTTCTCTGCAAACCAGCCTTCTTTGCTTCTCAGATGGAAACGTGGCTGCTACACAGCTCTCCGTGTTTCCAGTGCGGCCAAATAGGAAATCATTTAGCCAACCAACCTCTCTCTCAAATCTTCTCCCTATCTCCCTTTCCCCTCTCTTACTACCACCTTCAATGTCATAATTTCAAGAGGCAGGCCTCCGATTGGCTGACTTTGTTCAAGGGCCAACCCCTGGAGCTATTAATAGTCCACTGTGGAAAGAGAATGAGGGCCTCACCAAACACATGGATGCTGGCAATACGCCACTGAGGGTGAGAGTGGTACCTGAGAGGTCAGGCTGTGAGTGAAGTGGTCATTATAAATTGGGAGACACCTCAAGATATGCCCCAAATAAAAAACTATGACTTATATGGTATTTACTATGTATCAGACTCTCTTCTAAGCATTTTGTATTTAATAGCTTATCTGACCCTCCAATAACCTTATGAAAAGGATGCTATCATTATCCCCATTTCATAGAGGAGGCTGAGCAGAAATAGCAGAGGACTTGGCCAAGGTCACCCGATGACCACAATCTGCAGTCTTAACCATTGTGCATATATTACCATTATGATAAGCCTTCCCAAATGCAGGCCCTCATTCTCCTCATCACCCCAGGCCACGGCTCCAACATGCCCTTCACCCAGGCCTTCACCTTACCTCATCCTGACCTCCCTCTCTCCCTGGTAACCAGTCCTTTATTAAATGTGTCAGGCTATGCGATTTCACCTAAACTTGAGAATAGCTTTTGACCTAGGACAAACAGTCCTGGGAGTTACAGTAATTCCCCCACTCTCGGCACATTGAGGAGTTTGTGATGTGCCCAAGCTCACTCAGCTGGTAGGGAGGAAGCTGAGTGCTTTAATGCCAAGTTTCATGCTCTTCCTCTGAGCGGTCAGGTGACAAACAGGAAGTTATGCCAGGACAGGCCTCCCCCAGGTCCCCTCTCCCTAGGGGTTGCCTCTCCAGGAAACTGCTTTCTCTCTTCCACTAAACTTAGCTGTGTATTCTCCTCAGTTTATCCGGAGGCCAAATGAAGTCACAGCAGCAGGTAGAACAGGCTCCTGAATTCTGAGTCCTTTCTACTTTGATTTCCTTGGAATCTGGAAAGGAGGTTGTAGGGCCCAAGGTTGTCCTGCCCCCAGCATTCTCATCATCACACACGTATGAAAGACACATGTTTGCCTTTTCTTCTTAGGAGAGAAGAAAGCAAGGTGGCTTTCCTCTACCCACAGTCCTGACACAGTACCTATCAATTCACTCACACCAGCGCCCCACGAATCATCAGACAGGAACCGCTGCGCTCACCCGCACTGTGAACACCAGTCATGCTGCCTGCAGAGTGCCATGAGCTCTAAATGTATTTTTTTTTTAATCTGGTAGAAAAGACTTCTTAATCCCTATTCAAACATTTTCCCAAATCCTCTCAGGTTGATAATAAAGGGTCCCCAAATTTCACCCAGGGATTAAGTCTAAGTTATTTAAACTGTGTGATCAGTAAATGACACTGGAGCTTAAACAGGCAGGTTGTGCATTGGGGCTGCTATGATATTTGTCAGTCCTTTTGGCCACATTATAGGGTAAAATTCCAAAACTCTTGGGCTAATCAGGTAAGACAAACAATACAGC